CCCGCCACCAGCCACCGCCGGTGCCGCCGCTTTCAGCCCGCCATCGCCTTCCTCAACATTGACACACGCAAACACAGTTCACACACACACACTTCACGACACACACAATAGAACACCTGCACCGTCGGTTCTCGCCATCCGCCGTCGGCACCGCCGGCGCTGCACTGCCGTCGGACCATCGCCGCTGCACCTCTGTACGCCGCCTCCAGACTCCAACACTCCGATTACTGATCAACACCTCCCTTAGCCATCTACATTCGGTCGAACCTGTGTAAAAAACAGAAATTCCGGTTGCAATCCAAATCACCGTCGAGCACACCCGACATCGAGCGTTTGGAGGCCGAAATTCGGCCACCGACGAAGAAACTCACCAACACCGATGAGCTCAGATAATTCCGGCAACCCCAGCAAGTTACCGGACAAATTAGATGAATACAAAATCAAAATTAAATTTGACGAACACAAAATCGAAAGAAAAGTCGTGAGGATGTGGCGACCGTTGGGGTCTTCGTGTTGCAGAGAAAGTTCGGCGGCTCATCCGTGGATAGCGAAGAATTTGGGAAGGAGAAGAGAGCAGATCTGTAGGATATAGTTAAATCTCAAGGGGGCTTAATTGCAATATCATTGATTTTATTTAAATTACAATTTAGTTATTAGGGTTAAATTTATAATTTAAGTAAAATTTCAAGAGTTTTGATATAGTTCAATTTAGTCCATATGTAAATTTTTGTAATTTATATAAAATGTATAAAAAATATTTTTTATATATATATTTTTATACTTCTACACATATGTATTTCATATCTTTACAACCAAAAATAATATAAAAATATTAAATAAAAATATTAAAATACTAAATATATTTTTATACAAATAGTTGTGCTTCTAGTGCACATTAATGTTAGACGGATTGCACCTTAGTGACTATCAGATTGCACTATAGCAGTCAAAACGGACACCCAAAGTTTTGGGTTTGAATTTTATATTTTGGTTCGACTGTTTGGGTATACTTTTAAAATTTTGATTATCACGGTGCGATGTCGACATTATTTTTTAATATAACAAAATCGATCGAGCTATATAAAAAAATAACACTTTGTTATAAATATTTATTGTTATGATTTATATAATTTTTACGTATTGCGATTGCACATTATAATTATATGGATTGCACATTAATGACTATATGATTGCACAATATTAAAAATCAACCGACTAAAATTGTCGGTTGGAAATTTTATATTTCAGATCAATTATTACTTTTACTATTCTTCTATTTCCAAAACTCAGTAATGCACTTCAGAAATCAACATGTTGTACTTTATAAAACAACACGTTGCACTTTATCAAATAACAATTTGCACTTTATCACGATTCCACAATTTGCGTCGATAACTCCCGCCAAAACACCACACAACATAAATTTTTATTTTTATTTTTTCGATTATGTATTATTACGATTTATATATTTTTATGTATTTGCAATTGCACATTATAATTATATGGATTGCACATTAATGACTATATGATTGCACAATATTAACCAACTAAAATTGCTTGAAAATTTATATTTCTTATCAGTTATTACTTTTATTAATTTTCTACTTCTAAATACTCAGTAATGCACTTTATAAATGAACACGCTGCACTTTATATAATAACACGATGCATTTTATCATGACACTCTAGAATTTGCGTCGATAACTCCGCCAAAATATCACACAACATACATTTTTATTTTTATTTAAAAAAACTCGATTATGTCAGTCCGATTTATTTATTTATTTATTTATTTATTTATTTATTTATTTATTTATTTATTTTGTTACTTAACCGAACAACCGAGATATGTAAAGAAATATCATTATTCCTATTATTATATTTGTTATGTAAAAAAATATTTATTTCATCCACAAAAATATAAATTTTTTAATTTTTAAATAAAATTAATAAAATATTAGTTATAGGTTGGTTAAAATATAAATTAAAGAATTGTAATATATCATTGCACTTAAGCTCCTAAAATCTATTAAATATACCAAAAAGAGCCTTCAACCTAATTTAAATCTCTAAACCTAATAGGAAAAAAAAAACCCCTCAAATTGTATCTGATAAATCAAGTGACGCACTTCTTCACCACCTGATGTGGACTACGGAAGAAAACAAGAAATGGACGGCTGTAGAGAAGGCGTGCGACGACGGACGGCGAAATTTGTGGCGGAGGCACGTCTGCGGGCGGACCGACTATTGGAGGAGGTGGCGGAGGGAGGGGGGGTTGTTGGTTGTTATGGGATGTGTTTCCGGTGGATTTAGTGACGACGGAGGAAGACATTACGACGGAGGCGGTGCTGTGGGCGGAGGGACTGCCGGGGCAGATGGCAGATTGGGTGGAGCTGTTGTTTGTGATAGCTTGTGATTCCGGCGGGTTCAGTTGACGGCGGCGGTGGTCTTCTAAGATTCGGGCGGCGTCGGAGAGAGGTGTGCTGGTGGTCCGGAGGCGGGTGGTGGTCCGGCGGCGGCGGTGGTAGATGTACTCTGTGTGTGTGGCGGAAGTGGTGCATCTTGTGTGTTTGTGTGTGTGGTGTGAGAGAAGGAGAACCAGGTGGATGGTTGTGGTGGTGGGGTCCGTAGGTGATGGGGTGAATTTGTCATGTATAATGTCTAATTTATCCCTACTTAATAGTCAAATGTATCATTTAA